TGGTGATGTGGTTCGTCGTGCTCGTAGCACTCGTCCTAAGAAGCACCCCACGGCAACGAGGACGTTGCCAGCTGGAGGGGGAGGAGTGTAACGTCCGTACCTACTCACCCCTGGTCTCGATATATCGAATCAGCAGTGAAGGGGAAAATGGGTTGAAATGTGACTGGTTACGAATTGAAGGGAAGCAAGACGTGCGGGGAATTTGGGATTGATTGAAAAACCAACCAATCAGATCATTCCTGCAAATGAACCTACGTAATTGGTTTGAGTTGGTTCAAGACACAACCCACGTAAGTTTAATTCAGCACTAATTTAATTCATCAGAAAGCAGCCCCAAAAGTGAGTCAACAGCATTTCCGCCGCTCACTGCAAATACAACCAATAACATCAAACACAGGTTTGTGATAGCAATGCATTTCTTATCCTCGCTGTTCAAAGTATAATTGGTTGAGAACCTTATTTGTTGCCACATGGGCAAGGCCCAAGAAGGTGCACCCCTCCTTGCCATGGGGAAGGTGGCTGCACCCCAAGGGGGTCTAGGGAAGGGGTCTGAGCCTTTCTGGTTCATTCTTCACTTCCTCTCCCCAACTAATTAATTGGGAAATATGATCTCTCTCTTCTCAACTCACCCTCCACAGTTTGTTACTAGATCATCTAGCACTTTCCAGACTTAGTAATTTTCAGGAGCTGCTACTCTCTGTTTGCATTAGAACCTATTGGTATATGTGTAAATGCTCCTTTTTATTAGCAGACCCATTACAATATAAACACACCCCCTAACTACGTAGCAAAATAGCGCAAGAACAGATAAGCTGGCGTTCAGCTAATCCGTGTTGCAGCTTCACACATGTGGGAGTGGACCTGTCACTTTGCAGCAATTCTCCCGCATCGCTCGACTAGTCTGCTTAGCAGCTAGCTAGCAAACTGTATAAGGGGGATGTGTTCGTGTAGGGCCCCATCATCTGCAACTGTGTCTCTGCCAGTGGCCCTATCTGTCTGTCATCAAGAGATGACAGCAGCTGCTGTGCTTGGGTGAAGAAAACTGTAGTTGCCTTTCACCGCAGGGTCATTGATTCCAAGGCCCCCAATTGATACTGGGAGCGAGGCTTGGGACCAGGTACGTGCGATTTCAGCTTCCCCACACAATGAGGCAAGCCGAGGTTCCGTCCATGCTATAAGGCTTAGAGGTGCTGCCGTTGATCTAAGGCTCGAGCAAATGTAGTCTGCGGTGGCCTCATCTGGGCCGATGAAAGTGCCTAGCACGGCTTGGAGTGGGCTGACGGCGTAGTTGCCTGAGTGTGACCATGCGGCACATTTGGATGGATTGTGTTGGAGGCCAATTGAGATAAGGCTATCCGTAAAATGCGAGAATGCTGCTGCACACATCGATTGTTCTGTTACGAAAGTGGCATCGTCTCCATATGCTACGGCGGCCACAATTGGAAAGACCAGTGCTGTAGCTTGTGGCACGGGGTTTATTGCAGCCGCAAAAAGCGGCGGCCCCTGCCGTGCTTGAAACCCTCATTTACGTAAACCACGGAAGGAGCGTTATAGGTTAGTTGGGCCAGTTGCAGTAGCGGGGCAAGAGGGGAGTTGCCTAGGGCGGTCGCTATTGCAACTCTGTTGACATTGTTGAAGATGTTGGCGAGGTCTGCTTGGAGGACGAGCGACAATCCGATAGGTAGCCATGAGTCATATGTATAAACCGTCTTCGCTCTCCTAGGTACTGCCACGCCATACTGGTGTGGCATGAATAATTCTCTTACAGCCCCTGCCGTCAGCACCAGCACCGTTTTTGCTGCTAGCCTGGTAATGCTCTTGCCAATTGCTATTGGTCTTGTTCCGCCATCTAGTTTGGAGAGTGCCAGTAGGCGGGATGCGGTGAGGAGACTGGCGACCGGCGGTGGCAGCTTCCCTGTCATCATGGTGTTGACCATCGCGTGAAGTTGAGTTGCCACCGAGTGGTTGACTAGCCATGCCTCCCTTAGATGTTCAAAATTCAGTCCTAATTGGCTTGCACCAATCCCTTTGTCACATTGCGACAAGACCCAAAGGAACTCTGGCAAGGTAGCTGCCAAGCAGGTGTTGGGGTCTAGTACGGGCCAGACAAGTGGCGTGTCAGGGGCAGGGGGTTGCTTGGCGGCAGGGCTTCCAGGGCTAGTGGCAGGTGCAAACCGGCGTGGTCTCTTAAGCTAGGACAGCTCGCCGCAGGTGGCCACGCCGTGCCAATCCCTTTGTCCTTGCTATCACGTCAGCATTGTCAAGGATGTGCTTAGGTGGCTAGGGATTGGCCAAGGAGTCTAGGGTGTCAAATCACAGTTTGTTCCACTCCCCCACCAAGAACTGATGTAATCTTGTTCGGACAGCCAGCCAATTTGGTTTCTGAGGTGAGTGTTGTTTCAGAATCAAGCGCGCGAGGAATAAGAATATTGTCTACGTTAGCACTGAGTCGGGATTCCAACCCTCTCAACCGGTTTAGAATGGCCGTGATACAACCCCGCACACCTTCTCCCCAAAACAAATGGTTTATCACCAAGACTTCCCGTCCCAGCGAAGAAGCAATGCTCTCAACTCAATCAAGATTTCCAAGCATACAAAAAATATTTGACGACAAGGATTTTAATACCTGGAGCTTTGAGCTTGAGCTGCTGCTGCAAAACGCAAATATATATATATATATATATTATTTTGACGAGAGCTATGCGGGACGTGCAGAAGACACCGTTGAATCCATATTGCAATACTACAGCAAATCTCTCATGGCGTATGGCGTTTTACTGCGCAATATGTCGCCGGCAGAGCAGCTGGGAATTTGCTCCTACAAAACAGCATCTGCTCCAGCAGAGACATGGACCAGCAACGACCCACGCCACGGCAAGAAAGAGAGAGAATCACGCTCTACGCCAACAACAGAGAAGAACGCAAGCCGCGGTGCCTTTACTTCAAGATTGCATGAACTTCGGGCATGACCGAGCGTCGCAAGTTCCGCTCCGCCCTTCACTAGTCCAATCTGAGCACTTTAAGCCGGCCGACAAGATGCACGGCATGACACGCGTCAAGCCCATACGTACCAGCCCCCATCGCGCAACCTGAACCCAACGGTTCAGCATCAACTGCAACCGTCGGAACCCGGTAATATGATAATGACTCATACACGTGGAAGCCGTCATCGCTGCGTGCGCACTCCGTCACGGGAACATGCGCCTCATCCGATTGGCTCCTTCACGGACAACAATCTGTTTACCTGGCGGAAGCCGAATTCATTGCTGCAACACTAGCGATCCGCGAGGATCTCTACTTGCAGGAACTCCTGCAAGAGGCAAAAAAATCCAACTTCGCCAACCTTTCGCGTGCATTGCGAGAACCAGAGCGCGGTCCGAATCGCGAACAAACCAGAATTCGTCAACCGCACCAAACATATTGCGTTGCGATACTTTTTCGTCAAGAATGAAGTGGACATAGGCAAGGTCGATCTGACCTATTGCTCAACAGGTGACATGGCAGTCGACTTCTTCATCGACTGCCGTGTCAGCAGTACCAGCACTGCTCCGAACTCAGCGGAGTAGTCAAGCGAGTTAAGACTTGCTACGGCTGAGGAATGAAGGGGGGTGTTTCGAATAGTAAAATGAGAAGTGTTACTGTGCATTCGCCAGTAGCAAGAACGAGGAACACAGAAAAGAGTACGAAGGCGAAGGGTCGAAGCGACGAGCACGGTTACGAAACGTCTGGACCGTGAGAGTAGACGGCATGGGACAGTTGTACTAGAGAGGAATTTGATGGGACATTTTTGTAACTACCGGTACCCGCGCCACACGGTCGGGCTTGAATTCAAATAAGGAAGGGACCTGTTAGAGTACATGGCTAGACTAAGAGTTTTATATTCCTCTGTACTCTTGTATAAACCCATGTATTTGCATGTTTTGATTATCTAGTCATTTTGAACCCACTCTGATCTGATGTCAATATCTTTTGATGCAACGCTCTATTACTACGAACCTTCCTTGGGTGATCATAGGCAACGATAAACCTTTTGGTGCTGTTCGCCAGCAAATCAAAATTATAAATGAAAAAGATGGCATTGGCATCGTGACCGCATCTGGAAACGGTGGCGGAACCCACCTCAGAGGTTTGGCTGTAATGCCACTCGAGAAACTTCCGATGCCGAAATGGGAAATTACGCAACCGCATCGGGAACCTCCATCCCCACCTTCCATCCCCACCTCCATCTCCACCTCCAGACGGCAGTGCAATCGCTGTGCCATCGCTGTCCTTTGGGAGGGAATTTTGCTTGGGGACGAAGTTGCGTCCCCGCTTCCATATGCCGTTGAGCAGTTCGAATTGGTCGAGAAATGGGGGCGTTCGCCAGACCCTCACTTTTATGTTTGGTTCGGGCGGCATGAGAGGCTCGGCAGCATTTTCACGGGCTGACCAGGCTGACGGAGGTAAACGAACCCTAACTGACGGGATCAGGAAGGCGAGACTGACCTTCCTGATCCCGTCGCTGTCCCGTCATTTTACCTTTCAGTGGTGCTGGCGAACAGCACCTTTGATTGCAATAGGAAAGTGAGGAATCCTTGAGATGCTCAATCAACCAACCCTAAGGGCCACTACCGGCACCCCGTGGGCCTGATCAAAGAGCCAAGAGGAAGAGTGGGGCTAAAAGCTGTGGATAAGAGTTTGAAGTGAAAGAGGCTATCCAATTCACGAGGCCTGTGGTTGGCCACTTTTCTGCTACTCCTAGCCTTATGTTTCCCGTTTTAGTAGTGAAAAGCTAAAAGCAAAAGCAAAACGGGGTGTTCCGAGAATTGAACTCGGGACCTCTCGCACCCTAAGCGAGAATCATGCCACTAGACCAAACACCCGCGGACACATACGCATCATAAGATTTTCAAATTTATGTTTTGTGAATATCGACTTCGACTTTCACCAAGCTTCTCCGCGTGTCGCGCCTATGCTTGCCACCCCATTCATCCGTTGTCCCTTCTTTTGACCTCAATCCAATGGCGTCGTTTAGGGGAAACGAGGCACTTCCAGTCTGGAGCGCGGGGTACTTGTTCATGGGACGGTCAGAATCGCACGCATGGGCTCGAATCCCTCGCCTCCACCCAAGTGCGTCGAACCCGTCAGTCGTTGAGGCCGACACTCGGATCTCCGCCGTGCCTATATATTGCCGCCAGCTTCTCCGTCAGCTTCACCGTCAGCTTCACCGTCAGCTTCACCGTCATCTTTACCGTCAGTTAGTTTTCTCGTCAGTCGTTGAGGCCGACACTGGGATTTCCGACGTGCCTATATAACTCGCCCTCCCGTCCGCCATTCCCAAAGGAACGACCGTCGCAAGCACGCGGCAGAGCGAGCCGTCCTCGTCACGCAGCGCCACCATCGTCGCCTCTCGCCGCACGTCGCCGTCGTCGTCTTCACTCTCACTTCCCGTGCCGCGCTGCACTCCCCTTGCCGCGCGGCTTCGAGTCGACTCAGACCGCCACCACCATGGCCTCTCGCCGCCCGCCGCCCTCAGCACTGTCCCCGCTGCGCAGAGTTTCCCTTTCCCCCGCTGCGCTGCTCGTTCTAGGCCTGGCCCTTCTCGGGCTATCCTGGCCGTCCATCGCCGCGTCGCCCCGGCGCGTGCTGCTGCAGGCCGGTGGCGCGGCGGCATCGGACGGCGCGGCGGCGTTCGGGAGCCGCGTGATCTTCAACTCGATGCAGAACGTGGGCGTGCAGGACGGCGGCGCCATCTCGCTCACGCTCGACCGCACGGGAGGTGTGAATAAAGGGGGCAGGGGTGCGAGGCAGTGCTTGAGAACATGGCGTGTGGAGAGACAGTGGCGGGTTGTCGTTTGAGCTCTCGTTTCTTTTAAAGAAACAAGCAGTTGCCCTCTGTGCCACCATTTGTCTGAGCTGGGAGTCCAACGCTCCACAGCTTTAGGGGAATGCGATTGTCATGAGCGTGACCGAATTCGCGTGCCTCATGTCGCATCTTTCTGCTTCACCCCTCCTGCGTTGGCTGTCCTGCCCTATGCTGTGTGTGCATGTGCGCATGAGTGGCAGGAGCGGGGTTTGAGTGCAGCGACGCGTACAGCTTTGGCACGTTCAGTGTGGAGGCCAAGATGCCTGCCGGCTACTCTGCTGGCGTCTGCGCTACCTACTTCGTACGTCCCTCCCACCCAACCTGCTGCTTCCTCTCTTTCTTGCCTCTCGCATCACTGCTCTCTCGCGTTGCTCGCATTGCTGGCTTTGCACGCCTATACGTCTGCATGCTCGCATCACATCACACATGAGCTACCCGCCCGCCCCCCTCCCTCTCCCCCCCACCAACAGCTGCAGTCAGGGTCATACGAGCAGCGCAACGAGTGGGACTTTGAGTTCCTGGGCTCGCCCAATAACTCGCTGGGCATGACGCTGCAGACCAACGCCTTCATGGCTGGTGTGGGCGGCCAGGAGGAGCTCTCCGCCTTTGGCTTCGACCCCGCTGCTGACTTCCACGCCTACTCCATCCAGTGGGGACCCGACCAGACGGTGTAAGCACGCTCCCTCCTCTGCTGCTGCCCTCCACACCTACACCATTCAAATCTCGCTTCCCTGCTTGCTTTCCCGTCTGCGAGGCTCAGTCTGATGGATGAGTTCATGCATGCACCTCGTGGTTACTGCTCTGGGATGTGCGCTCGCGTACGCTAACCTGTGCTCACATACGTGCCGCTTGTTGTGACTCCATGCGGCGACTGATGGGCAACAGCTGCCCAGTGTACCCCTGGGCCCCACGAGGCTCACATGCACTCACATATGCACACATACGCTCACCTGTTTACACATGTATGCCATACACCACAATATCGTTTGCCCTCAGGTGGCTGGTGGACGGGGAGGTGCGGCGGGTGATGGGCAGCAGCAACCCGGCGTACCCGCGGGACCCCATGCGCGTCTACTTCAGCATCTGGGACGCCTCCACGTGGGCTACCGGGCCAAGGACGGCCCGCATCCCCGTCGACTATAGCTATGCTGTGAGCCTCCTTTTTTGCGCCCTTCCGCGTGCCCTTCTTCCTTGTCTCCACTCATCCTTGCACCTCCGGGCCACCGGGCCCAGGACGGTGCATTCCCCCGTGGACTACAGCTATGCTGTGAGCGAGCGCTCTTCTCTCCCGTTGCTTGCTGTGTGCACTCACTCATTCATTCTTGCACCTCCACTTGGGCCACCGGGCCTAGGGCGGCCTGCATTCCTGTCGATTACAGCTACGCTGTCAGCGCCCTTCTGTGCTCCCTGCTACCCTAAACCCTGCTACGCGCCCTGCCACACGCCCTGCCACGCACCCTTCTCCCTTGTCTGCACTCATTCGTGCACCTCGCTCTGGGACGCCGTGCCCAGAGCTGTGCGCATCCCCGTTAACTACAGCCATGCTGTGAGCGCCCCCTCTCTGGGTCCGTTCTGGGAGGGCTTGGGGTCATGCTGTAGGTGTGAGGGTGGGCACTGACTGTTCCCTCTGTGTGTATGTGCTGTGCTGTGGTGCTGTGCGGTGCTGTGGTGTGTGCAGCCGTTCGTGGTGACGTTCAGGAACTTCAAGTACACTGCCGCATGACGGGTGCCGTGCTGTGCAGGCAGAGGTGGTTTCCACGTAGAGGTGCTCAGCACTTGACATAAGTGCTGCAGGGGACTAGCGCTGTGTGTGTGTGCTGTGAGAATTCTCGGAAATGATACTAGCAGCAGACTAAGTATTTCGCAGTTATTAATGTACATCATACTAATGGCAATCAACTACGGTAATCATTACAAGTACTTTTTGTGGCCAACATTCTGGGGGGAAAGCTCTCTACCACCTGTGGCCGGATCCACTGTGTGTGTGTCAGAGACTCACAGCAAACAGCAATTCCCCTCCCGTTCCTTCCCTTCAGATCCACTGGCTCATGCAGCACATGCTGCAGTTGCAGCGAGCACAGCCATCTCATCCCCATCATCCCTCCTACACCCACTACCCCATGAACATCATCCCCCTCCATGCCAGTCTCCTCACATGCCGGTTGCAGTCACTGCCATCGCACCTGCCCGTCCCACCTCGCCAGAAGAGCAGTCAGGCATGCATGCTTCATGTGCTGTAGCCAGCACACCCACCGCAACCTCATCACGCCTCTTCCACCCGACCCCCATCATCCCCCTCATCATCACCCTCCTCCTCATGTGCCGGCTGCAATCGCTGCCACCGCTCCTGCCCATCCCATTTCGCCTGCAGTGCCGCCAGCCATGCCCCGTGCCGCTCCCCCACCGCCCTCACTGCCGCATCCTCGCTCTGACAGCACACACAGGAATGGTGGTTGGGGGAGGGGAGGTGCGGAGAGGGTGGGATGGGGGGATGGGGGCATGCTTGAGCAAAGATTTATGAATGGTACAACAGCCATGCATTCATCTGCCTTGCATTCATCTGCCTTGCTGTCTCGCCATCTAGGAGACACACTGCAAGAGGTGCACGCCTGCATACATCGCTGCTTGCACTGCTGTGAGTCGAGTGTATTCGCATAAGTGGAAATACAAAATGAAGTGCATAGGCGAGCATGCATAATTCCCGGCATGAGAGTGTTCGCGAGAAAGGGTGCATGAGGAGAGACGCGTGCATGTGCGGGGCCTGATGCATGTGTGTGCAGCTACAGGCATGCACTCACCAGTAAGACATGTGCTGACCTGGTGAGGCGGCGGGTGGGGACAGATGGCGGTGTGTAAAGCGCTGGCGAACTGACTGCGGTGAGGGAGACGAGACGTGGGGGAGAGGGAGGAGAGAGGAGTGACAAACTGTGACAGCTTGTATGGTGGGGAACGCAAGCAGAATAGGGAGGAAAACAGATGAACATGAATGTGGATGCAGTCACACATGCACATACAGAAACACAGGCACATTATCAACGCGCACAGGAACACACACACACACGCATGCACGCACGCACGGGCAGTTCCACATCCAGAACAGGACAGGCACTAGTCAGTCAACCGAAAACTAAAGACAATCCCGGTCGTTGGCACAAGCGGAAATGCATGGCGTGTGACAAGAACAGATGGTGCTGAAGGGCCAGAGAGGGGAGGCTGTCGCCAGCACTGCATGTGATGGCGTCAGCACCTGATGAGGATGACGTCATCGTCACTGACATGGGTTGCTGGCACGGTGGCAGCAAAGTCTATGAGCGAATCTGATGGGCGCACAAGGGGCAGGCATGCAGGGAGAACATGGACGAGGGGTTGAGAGGGGCAATGAGTGCGCGGAGGGATGGGATAGACGACGTGGAGAAGAGGGAAAAGAGGGTTGAGGGAAACACCAGTACGTGCAGATGAAGGGGTGGAGCGGCACGATAATGGATGCAGAGGGAGGGTTGAGAAAGGTGGGAGCGGTGGGGGGGGGGAGTGGAAGAGAAACGGAAGCAGGAGCTATGGAGGGGTCGCAGACAATGGGAACGATGCATGCGAAATGATGGAGAACAAACCTCCTCACACGAATCATTGCCACACATCACGGCCTTGCTTCCACAATGGAAGCTCCACTTACTTGGTAACATCGCTCCTCCTTTCATAAACCCCCTACCCCTCACGCCACTTCCCCCACGTCATCCCCCTCGCCCCATGATGCACGCCACTCCTCAGACCCCTCACGGATCTACTGAGTAGTTGACACCCACTCGCACCTACATTCGACCCAACCCTCACTACCCCCGTGGACCACACGCTCTACCCCTTCAGCCTCACATGCACGGCCCTCCCACCCCCATGACATAAGTCCGCTCAAATTATCTTAAAGGCGTCAATATGACCACACCAACAGCACCATCACGATGCCATGTCCTGCAGTGACTCACACAGGTTCTCGCACATGCCCACTGCCGCCTCTGCTTCTGCCCCCGCTCGCCCCCTCTGCCTCTCCTTCCCTTCTGTCACCTTTCTGCTGCCATCCCCACCCGCTTCACCTTCCCCAGGTGCACCCACCCCAGGTGCACCCTCCCCAGGTGCACCCACCCCAGGTGCACCCTCCCCAGGTGCACCCTCCCCAGGTGCACCCTCCCAAGGTGCAGCTGGGAAGGATCTCTGGTGGCGGATGGCAGCGACGACGAGGTTGAGGAACTGGTGGCGCTGCTCGCCTGCGGGTTGCGGGACGGGAAAGGGTGGGTGGGGGGGGAGAGGGGGACTTGAGGCAGTACATACGGCATTGCATAGCATGGGGCGGCGAGGTTGAGGAACTGATGGCACTGCTCGTCTGGTGGGGTGTGGGGAACGGGGGGATGAGGACGGTGCGCACGATTGCACATATATGCTTCTACATGTGAGCAACACTCGAGTAGAGGGTTGGAAAGGCACATATTGCGGTCAGGCAGAAGTGGGAATCTCGGTTAGGAAGGGGGAACTGACGGGGTACAAAGCAGCATGAACCAGCATGAACCAGCATGAACCAGCATGAACCAGCATGAACCAGCATGAACCAGCATGAACCAGCATGAACCAGCATGAACCAGCATGAACCAGCATGAACCAGCATGAACCAGCATGAACCAGCATGAACCAGCATGAACCAGCATGAACCAGCATGAACCAGCATGAACCAGCATGGCATGATATGGCATGCGACTTGCAGAGGGCATGTTCCTTCCTGACATGAAATGATTGCAAGAATGAGAGGGGAGGCGCGTGAGCGCAAGAAGATGCTAGGAGATCAAGCAAGGGCAACACGGTAGAGGAGGCAGCAGAGGAAAAGGGGCAGCAGAATTGGGTACCAGGGCAGAGGGGGCAGCAGAGCGTACCAGGGCAGAGGTTGGGGTCGAAGCAGTGCAGATTGGCGAACAGCTTCACCAGCAGCACCACGCTCTGCCACCCACTCCCCACTCCCCCCTCAGCCCCGTCCTCTCCACCCACACTTCCACCCTCTCCCCTTTTGCCCCCACTCTTCCCTCCTCCCTGCCCTCCACCTGCTGCCCCATCCGACGCCCACCCACTCACTCCCTCTGCCTCTGCTGCTGTCCCGCCCTCCCCTCCCTCCAACCAGATCACTCCCTCCGCCCAGTCACTCTCTTCCTTCCCTCCATCACTCCCTCGCTTCCGTTTCTCTCTTCCTCTAACGCCCTGCTCTATCTTTCTCTTCCTTCCCACCATCTGCTCATCCACTCGGCGAAACTGCAAGTTTCCAGCAAGCTTCCCAACACTTCTGCCATCTCCTGCATCAGCCAATCTCTCCCTCTCGCCCCGGCTGCCACTGCGGCTTTTCGCACCACTTGCCTCCTTATAAGCCGGCCTCGTTACAGCCACAAGCCCTCCCTCAGAAAACGAGAACGGGCCAGAAGAAAACGTCTCTGTCGAATCCTCAACACCAATCAGCCCACTCCTGACGTTTTCCGCCCCTTCACCCACCTCCTTTTTCTCCTCCCCATGGAACAGCACAGCAGGAGCGAGCGCAGAGGGGTGGTGCAAGGGTGAGGTGGAGCGGTTGAGGGAGTGCAAGTGTGAGTGGGTGAGGTGGAGGGCGAGGCCCAGGGAGGGGAAGGGGCGGAAGAGGACAAAGGCGTCGGCCTCTCGGGCGGCAAGGGCGCGCGTGAGCGGGCCGTGTAGCCAGCGAGATGCGAAGGCGGGTGAGGGGAGGGCGAGCAGGCGCACGAGAAGAGGCGCCTGGAGGGGAGATTGTGGGAGGATATGGACGGGTGGACAGGGGCGGAATGGTGCATGCAGAGAGCGAGTGAATGATTATGAGGTGGATGCAAGTGAGTTGAGGGCGAGCACATGCACGAGAAGAGGTGCCTGCGGTGGGGCGGGTGGGAGGAGGGAATGGGGAGGAGATGGGGAGGGGTGGAGAGGGGTGGAGAGAGATAGTTCTTGACAGAGACTTTCCGGCAAAGAGGGAGTGAATGAATGGGAGGTGTGAGAGGAGAGAGAAGGGAGGGGGGGAGGCGGGGGAGAAGAGGAGTATGGGGTGGAAGCGGGTGCAGAAGAAAGAAGGAGGCAGAGCGAGGGTGATAAAGAGAGGCGGCAGACAAGGGGGTCTAGGGTCATATAGAGTTAAGCAGTTGCAGACAAGGGGAGAGATCACAGGCATGTGGGCATGCGAGGAGGGGAGTAAAAAACATGCAGACATTGGCAGTTGCAGTATATTTGTTCGGGCGGCATGAAAGCACAGGCATGTGGGCACGAGAGTGCACGGTGTGGAGCATGGATGGCACGTGATCATGTACAGTGGACCATGCGATACAGTGTAGTAAGTGAAAAGGTGGGGCGTAGAGCGCAGGCAGGTGGGCATGGGGACATAGCATGGGAGCGCACGGCATGCAGCATGAAGAAGGGGCGGAAGCTGGAGTCGTCTGACAGCACCTCCGCCGCCCGCAGCACGTTCACACTCAGGCGGCCGCAGGGGAGAGGCGCGTGGGGGGGAGAGAAGGAGGAGGGGGGTGTGTGGTGAGCGAGGAGGCGGGCTGTGAGGTCAACGTTGGCGATGGCAGTGTCATGCAGGAGAGAGAGGATCTGCGGGGAGGCAGTGGGCACGGGTGTTGGGGCGGGTTGAGGAGTGTTTGGGACGAGAATGCAGAAGATGCAGGTGAGTCGCGTGTGAACGAAGCACCGGAGAGTGGTACAGGCAGGCAACTGGTGGTTGAAGCTTGAAAGCAGCGAACAGAGCTGTGCTCTCTTGTGAACAGAGTGACAAGAACGATACCTCTTTTGTTACACTGTGTGCCAACTGTAACGAGGCTGGATTGGCTGCCACGTCATCCAGAAAGGTGGAGCTGTCTGCCTCACTGACTGTGAGGAACTGCCATGGGCGGAGGGGAATGAGTGAGGGAGGGACTGAAGGAGGGAGTGAGGAAGGTGACATGAGGGGAGACGGAAGGAAGTGAGGGGCGCATGGTTTCGACAAAAAAGTCATAGAAGATGGAGTGCGCCTTGAACTTCTAAGATGGAAAGAGAACAGAACATGCGGAATAGAATTGCCAAAAAACACCCCAAGATTCACAGCACAGTCAACCGCAGCGGCAGCACGACACAGACCATCTGAATGGCTCGGCTCTTGCAGCGAGAAATAGCTGCCACCAGGGCCTCTGGTGGCACTGCTTGGTGTGACGGGCCATCGGAGGGGGAGGCGGAAGGAAGGGGAGAGGAGATGGAGGGATGAGTGGGGTTGGAAGGCGGGCAAGGGAGAGGGGGGAGAGGCGGAGGGAGGAGGGCGGGGAGGGGCAAGCGAAGGATAGAGAGGAGCAGGCGAAGGAAAGCCCCACCCTGGATGAGGTCCTGACGTGGGAAGGGAGGGGAGGAATGGAGAGGAGAGCGGTTGGACAGGGGGGAAATGTGGTGGTTTCCTGATGAGTGCACGTAGGGGCAAGTGTGGGCCCATGGTTTGGCTGCATGGGACCAGCAAGCAAAGTGCACATGGCGTGGCGCACATGAACCGACACGGAGTGACCCCATTCCGCACGTGTGCGCAAGATTGGGAGGCTAGTGATAGCACAAGGCCGCACCTGGTGGTGCGTTACGAGGGCGCCCAGCCCATCAGGGCGGCACAGCACGTGCAGCACCTGCAGAGCCGCCTCGCACTGCCGCACCACCCCCTGTACCGAGCCCCACTCCATGCCGCCCTCTACCATTGCCCTCCCTTCATCCCCGCCCACATCCCTCCCCCCATCCCTCCCCCCATCCCTTCCCCCATCCCTTCCACCATCCCTTCCCCCATCCCTCCCACCATCCTTCCCCTCATCCCTCTTCCCATCCCTCCCCCCGTCCCTCGCCCCAACTCCAATCATTCCCCTTCCCGCAAGGGTAAAGTCGGCAAGGGAGGGCGAGAGCAGGGAGTGCAGGTGGAGGAAGGCGGAGGTGACGGCTGAGAAGGCCGCCGGCAGGAAGGCTCCCACCTGGAGGGATGGGAGGAGGGATGGATGCATGGATGGGTGGGAGGAGGGATGGATGCATGGATAGGTGGGAAAGATGCTCGTTGCATGGGGCGAGGGACAGAGAGGATTGCGAAGGGAGTATGGGGACGAATGGGGAGTAGGGTGCGAAAGAGAGCATAGGGCAGAGGGGAGCATGGGGACAGAGGGGAGCATGGGGACAGAGGGGAGCATGGGGACAGAGGGGAGCATGGGGACAGAGGGGAGCATGGGGACAGAGGGGAGCATGGGGACAGAGGGGAGCATGGGGACAGAGGGGAGCATGGGGACAGAGGGGAGCATGGGGACAGAGGGGAGCATGGGGACAGAGGGGAGCATGGGGACAGAGGGGAGCATGGGGACAGAGGGGAGCATGGGGACAGAGGGGAGCATGGGGACAGAGGGGAGCATGGGGACAGAGGGGAGCATGGGGACGAAGGGAGCAGGGCGAGCAATAGTGCAGGGCAAGCAATAGTGCAGGGCAAGCAATAGTGCAGGGCAAGCAATAGTGCAGGGCAAGCAATAGTGCAGGGCAAGCAATAGTGCAGGGCAAGCAATAGTGCAGGGCAAGCAATAGTGCAGGGCAAGCAATAGTGCAGGGCAAGCAATAGTGCAGGGCAAGCAATAGTGCAGGGCAAGCAATAGTGCAGGGCAAGCAATAGTGCAGGGCAAGCAATAGTGCAGGGCGAGCAATAGTGCAGGGCAAGCAATAGTGCAAGGCAAGCAATAGTGCAGGGCGAGCAATAGTGCAGGGCAAGCAATAGTGCAAGGCAAGCAATAGTGCAGGGCGAGCAGCGCACCAAGGGGTTACAAAGTGATTTCAACATACCAGGGGGTGCAGGGCGAGCAACATACCAGGGGGTGCAGGGCGAGCACGGAGCAAGTGTCGATCCAGTCGGGGGTGACAAAGGCAGGCAGCAGGTACAGGCATGACGCCACCGTGCCCGCATACAGTGCTGCTTCCCCCACTGCCGCCTCCCCCACTGCCGCATTTTCAATAGCTGTATCCCCCACTGCCGCATTTTCAATAGCTGTATCCCCCACTGCCGCATTTTCAATAGCTGTATCCCCCACTGCCGCATTTTCAATAGCTGTATCCCCCACTGCCGCATTTTCAATAGCTGTATCCCCCACTGCCGCATTTTCAATAGCTGTATCCCCCACTGCCGCATTTTCAATAGCTGTATCCCCCACTGCCGCATTTTCAATAGCTGTATCCCCCACTGCCGCATTTTCAATAGCTGTATCCCCCACTGCCGCATTTTCAATAGCTGTATCCCCCACTGCCGCATTTTCAATAGCTGTATCCCCCACTGCCGCATTTTCAATAGCTGTATCCCCCACTGCCGCATTTTCAATAGCTGTATCCCCCACTGCCGCATTTTCAATAGCTGTATCCCCCACTGCCGCATTTTCAATAGCTGTATCCCCCACTGCCGCATTTTCAATAGCTGTATCCCCCACTGCCGCATTTTCAATAGCTGTATCCCCCACTGCCGCATTTTCAATAGCTGTATCCCCCACTGCCGCCTCCCCCACTGCCGCATTTTCAATTGCCGCCTCCCCCACTGCCGTCCCCCGCATTGCCGCCTCCCCCACTGCTGCATCTTTAACTGCTGCATCCCCCGATGCAGCCTCCCTCTCTCCACGTTTCTCCCCTCCCGCCTTCCCCCCCATCGTGCATGCCTCATCATCCTTGCCTGCCGCACCATCTGCCCTCGCTGCCTCACCTGCCCTCGCTGCCTCACCTGCCCTCGCTGCCTCACCTGCCCTCGCTGCCTCACCTGCCCTCGCTTTACCAGCTGCACTGGGCACTGCATCCGCGCCTCTTGCATCCTGCGTGCCACTACCACCATCCACAACCCCCGTGCTGTTCCGTGCATCCCCCCCAGTGCCTTCCCCACAGTTGCTGCCTGTGCCTGCTTCGCCTTCCCTTGCAGCAGCTGACCCACCATCCCCCTGCCCTCCGCTACCATCGGGAGCAGCCCTGCAGGTATTAGCACCAGCAGCGCCAGCACCGGCACCACCACCATCAGCACCACCATCAGCACCACCATCAGCACCACCATCAGCACCACCATCAGCACCACCATCAGCACCACCATCAGCACCACCATCAGCACCATCATCAGCACCATCATCAGCACCATCATCAGCACCACCATCAGCACCACCAGCATGACCAGCAGCACATGTGACAGCACCAACACAGCCTGCCACCTGAGCCTGCTCGCACCCCCTTACTCCCATGCCTGCTGCTCCTACTGCTGCTGCTGCATCCGCCCTGCTGCCATCGGCCTTACCACGCCCATCACCACCACTGCCATCGCCACTCTGCCCTCCGCCGCCCCTGCTCCTTCCAGCTAGTCGCTGCCGGGGGGAAAAGGGAAGATGGCAGGGAGGAATGAGTGTGTCGACGTAGCTCTCGCAAGTTGCGAGTCGCAAAAGAGAGTCGGGGAGGGAAGGGGAGGCTGTCACAGCATGGCACAGTGGGGTGCCTTGCAGCCTTGCAGTGCAGGCAGCACGGGCAGAAGAGCAGCACAGTGGCAAGGGCGGCGGAATGGGAAACAATGCTCGAAACGTGATGGGTTGGGTTTTAGAGAGCATGAGGGCTAGAGGGAGCATGAGGGCTAGAGGGAGCATGAGGGCTAGAGGGTGGGCGAAGAGGCGTGGGAATACATTGGAAGAGGAGCAGTGGAGTCAATGGTATGATGATGGGTAAGGGATACGGCCATGAGGCAATGCTCTCAAATGGCGCGTGGTGTGGTGTGGTGTGGTGGGGTGTGGTGTGGTGGGGTGTGGTGTGGTGCACTAGCCAACCATACAAGTACAGCACGGAAGAGAGTGCAGAAACTGGGGCGGTGGTGGTTGGCAGCGCAAGGGAAGGGTAACGCCGGGACGTAGCAGCACCTCTCACAAGGTGGCGTGAAGGAGGCAGGCCGCAGCAGCATGAGCAGTGTATCTCAGGCAGTGGGTACCCACCCACCGGGTGTGGCAGTGCAGTGAGGGCGAAGGTGGGCAGCACGACCAGGTCCAGTATGTGTGTGAGCGTGGCTCATGCCGTGTGTGTGAGCGTGGCTCATGCCGTGTGTGTGAGCGTGGCTCATGCCGTGTGTGTGAGCGTGGCTCATGCCGTGTGTGTGAGCGTGGCTCATGCCGTGTGTGTGAGCGTGGCTCATGCCGTGTGTGTGAGCGTGGCTCATGCCGTGTGTGTGAGCGTGGCTCATGCCGTGTGTGTGAGCGTAGCTCATGCCGTGTGGGTGAGCGTGGCTCATGCCGTGTGTGTGAGCGTGGCTCATGCCGTGTGTGTGGCATGGCTGGCCGTGACAGATATGCACCGGGTGTGGGGGCGCATGGCTGGTACCCACCAGGTGTGGGGGCGCATGGCAGGTACCCACCAGGTGTGGGGGCGAAGCGAGGGCAAGGGTGAGCAGCACGACCAGGTCCAGCATGTGGCGGCGCACACTCGTGCTCACCAGGAGCACCTGAGATCATGGCGTGGTTGTGAGGTGAGGGAGGGGTTGTGTGCATGTGGGGAAGAGGTGAACGAGTGGAGCGAACAAGGGCCGAGCATGAGAGCAACGAATGCTTCAAGGAGGGTTATAAGCGTTCCCACCTTGCCGCTAGACCGCCGTTAGGAGGGTTATGAGTCAGGAAGTGACTCATCATGCCACTAGACCGGCGCTCGTGTAGCAGCTTGAAGTACAGTCAGTACTGTATCAGTTGCGACTTGGACACACGAAAAGGAAGAGGAAAAGTTGCATACATATTGGGCCAGGACACACACCCACACACACTCACACACAAGATCATACGCTCAGACACACATCACACACACACACACACACACACACACATGCACAATTACATACACAAGCACGCACGCGTGCAAGCGCACACACGCACACACAGGCACACGCGCGCATGCGCACACACACGCGTGCGTGTGCGCACGCACACATACACACGCACATGCACACGGAAACACACATGCACGCATGCACACGCACGCGCACACACATACACTCACCTGGTGCAGGCGGGGCATGTGGGTAGCGAGGTCGCAGAGCGAGTGCAGCAGGCGCACCCCTTTGGCCACGTGTGCCAGCCACACCTCCCCTCCCCTCTCGCCTCCCCACCCTTGCTGAAATTCCATCCCACACTGCTCTCGGGCAGCCACCCCATAGCCCTTCTCCCTCCCGCCTGCCAGCCTACTCCCCTGCTCATCGACTCTCCTTGCCTTGCTGCTCTGCTTCTCCCTTCCCTCCCCCGGCTCTAATCCACACCTTCTCTTCTCGCCCCTCTTCTCTCCCTCCTCCTGCCCGCCTTCACCCCACTCTCCTCCATTCGCTCCCCCTTCGTCCTCCATTTGTCTCAGAAGCCACCCCACTGTTGCTGTGCTCTTGCTGCTGATGGTGAAAACACCATCTTTCACGCTCGCACCACTCATCCCCTCAACAGCCCTCCCCTCCTCCACATCTGCTTCCTCCTGTGTCTCTCTCTCCCTGCCTGCATCTGCTTCCACCTTCCCTTTCATCCTTCCCGTCGCCCCACCCTCCCGCCCACCCCCCTTCTCATCGCTTCCCTTCCCATCGCCACGCCCTGACCTGGTAACGTGCCTGTCACCCGCCGTATCACCCTCTCCCCACTCCCGCTTGCCACCTATCTCGCCCTCAACACTCCCCACGTCAACCCCACCCTCTCTTCCCTTCTCTCCACTGCCGTCGCCACCAGTCCCCCCAGCATCACCTTGAAGCACCTTCAAGCCACCAGTGCGTGCTACATGCGCGTGCCCGCCCTGCGGCTGCCCCCACCACGCCACTGTAGCCACCCTCGTCCCGTGCCGGATGGTCACTGCCAGGGGGCCACTGCCGCTAGCAGGAGTTTGGGAGGAGCCACTGCTGGGTGGCTTATTGTGACGAGCGGTTGGTTGGGGTGCGGTTGGTTGCGGTGCAAATGGTTGGGTCAGGTGGGCGGGTGGGAGGGAGGGGCTAGATTGAGGAGGGAGGGGAGGGGATGCAAGAATGCTTGGGGGAGGAAGGGATGGGGAGGCTGTAGCAGGGGGGGGTGCAGCAGTGGGGGCTGTAGCAGTAGGGGTTGTGGCAGTGGTGTGAGTGGTGGTGTCTATGTTAGCACAAAGCACAGCAGAAGGTTCTGCTGTTGCAGCTCCAGTAGCAGCACCACCTCCCGTGTCATCTTTGGCAGCATCACCTCCCGTGTCATCTTTGGCAGCATCACCTCCCGTGTCATCTTTGGCAGCATCATCTCCTGTCACATCATCGGTAACAGCAGCAGGCATTGCAATATCTTCCGCACCCGTGATGGCAGAAACGACTTTCTCTCCGGACATACAAGCCGCAGCATGTACGCCTTTCACAGGAGGAGACGAAAGTAATGTCACATCTTTAAGAGCTGCAGCAGAAGCAGGAGCAACTGCTGCTACATCTCTGGCAGTACCACCACCACCACCAGCAGCAGCAGCAGCAGCAGTAGATACATCACTCGCTTGCTTGGGCTGCCTCTGCTCGCACTCCTCCCCACCCTCTGTCCGACCGCATGGTTCCTCCTTCCCCTCTCTCTCGCCTTCACCTGCTCGCCCCTGCTTGCTCTCCGCCTCCACCGTCGCTTCTCCCGCCTCTCTGATTCTCGTCCCTCCCATCACACGCCCTTCTGTCTGCCTCTCACCCACTTCTGCACTCCCCATCCACCTTTCCCCCATCCATCCTCCCCCAATCCCACCTCCCCCCATCCCGCCTGCCTCTCCTCCCTGGGCCACCACCTTTCCGCGCCCCCCTCCGCCCCGCCCAGCCGCGCGCGCTTGGCCCGAGGGAGGTCGCCGTCGTGAGAGTGGCAGGGAGGGATGGCGGACAGACGAGGAGAGGAGGGAGTGTGTGTGGGAGCGTTGGGGGGAGGAGCGGAGGGCGAGCGGGCGTGTTGGAGGGCGAGGGCAGCGCAGGAGAGAAGGTGGAGAGGCAGCGATGCTGCAAGGAGAGGCAGGTCCACCTGATGATGTGTGTGTCCGCATGATGGCACGATGCATGCATGCCCATGGATGGCCACAGATGCATTCCAACGAACCCATGCACTCGCTCACGTCCATGGGTCGAATGCCCATGCATGCATGCATCCCATGACGCTACCACATACACATGTAAACACACACATAACATGCAATTGTATGTGTGCATGCATACATTCACACGCGTTCAGATGGTCACAAGCATGCGGCACGCACACAGGCATTCAATCATGCACTTAGGTACAGATGCGTGGCCCACAAGCACACACATGCGCATACGGACAGGCGTGCGAGGTACGCGTAAGAAAACGGAGTTGGACGAGAATGGATTGGGGTGACTTTGAGTGGACCCAACAGAAGCGCCAAAGCGTGCGGGAAGCACAGGGGAAGGAAACGAGCTGGGACGAGTGCGGCAACGCAGAGGCGCTTACATGCGTGCTCACGCCGCTGCGCCTGTCCCACAACCGAATAGGCGGCAAATCCACCGGCGGCTTCGGCTGACGTGGCGCATCGCGCAGCGCGTGCTGCACGAGCGCCATGAGGTCGTTGGAGCTCATCGCGTGCAGCTCCTCCACGGCCAACCCCGCGTTGCACACGGCGCCGCGCCTCGCCGCGTTACTCGCCGCGCCGCCTAAGCTGCCGCCTCCGTCGCTGCTACCGTTGCCGCCGCCGCTCATGGCTGCGTAACGCATTCGCCGGTGCTACCAAGTTGCGAGCTGTGGGCAAGGGCGGTGGTCGAACACTGTTCGGGGCGGAAGGTTGTGCGACGAACTCTCACAGCTCCATCCAACGCTAGAGCGCGGTGCACTTCACGAATTTCGGAGATCAAGTCCGGAGTACACGTTCAATCCAGCTCAATAATTTTTTTCCTGGGCGGCAAATCACATGAAACAAATGTAAGGGGGGGGCTATCGTTGGTGGGGTAAAAGTAAAGGTTATAGGGGGAACCCCCTTTCGTATTACCCCGTCTGTCGGTCGTAACCCGCCTACCCATTTGTTACACGCCTCGCTGGGAATCGAGGTTGTTCTATCCAGTCCCAAATGAGCACATGTATAGCCCCTTTATGGGGGGCTGGTTGTAAACGCCGCAGGGGGGATTTGATCCCGGGACCTCATCTTTCGAAAGTGGGCCACTTCAGGATGCTGTCGTTGGTGGGGAGTTGGGTTGACTTGGCAAACGCAAATGTGATAACCTTTGAACGAAACATAGGCGAGGGAGGGCAACCATAGTGGCGGAAGGAAGCGAAATAGAAGGGGGTGTGGGTGGAATTGAAATTGCGGGGGTGGAACAAAATTGCAAGTCAAAGAAAAAAAGAAAGAAAACAAAAAAAAAACCGGTATTGTACTGTCGATTGCACCGTTGAAACTTTACGATGAAGGAACCGGAAGTCACATCCCTGAAAGCCTCAGCGCAATTCGGTCGTCGGACCCGTTTTGCCAGTGTCGACGGGAGGGGTCGTCGGAGCCGGGTCTGACGAGGCGGGCGACTGACGCGCGTGCGGGCCCGCCAGCCTGGCCCAGGGCTGGGCCGAGCGCACGACCGCCGCCCTCCGAAATTGAACAGCGACCCACGTTACCGGGTGGGGTCGGCGAGCTGGCGACCCCTCGCGCGAGGGAAAGTTACCCTCGCGCGAAGGCAGCCCACACGTGCTGCCTGCCCGCGAGGTCCTAGTAACCCATCGCGGCCTGCCCGGACGGGCAGGCGAGGGCCGTGCGAAAATACGGGCCCCCCTCGGGACACTCGACAATTTCGCGATTCGCAGCGGTGGCGCCACGTGTTCGCCCGTGGCTTCGCATCGGGCGCATGCGAAATTTTTGACGAGGCGGAAATAAATTCTCTCCCATCGCATGCATTCTATCGTCGCGAACCGCTACGAAATCGACACGTGTCGATTGTAGCGTCGCTCCGCGCGCAGGAGGATTCGTGCGTCCCCTCGCCGACCTGGGCCAATGGACGCGAAGTCGACGCTCTACCAAGGCGGAGACGGACCACCTGTGCCACTTGCGCATCCGCCCTCCGAGCACTGCCGAGCCAGGCCCTGCACCCTTGGGCGATGCTGAACGGGCCTGGAGGGGGGGGGGGGGGGGGGCACCACCTCCTTTTCTCTGTGGAAGGTGGCCTCGCTCCGCATTTTCGGCATCTCTTTTAGATTTTCAAACATTGACAGCTCTGCGCCTCCCCTCTCTCCTACCAGAGCCGTCCGCCTCTTTTCTTAGTCGACAGATATGGAGCCGATCTCCGCCGCCGATAAGTCGGCGCCGACATCGGCCGACTTTCCCCTTCGGGTGCAAATGGGTCGCGGTCTCAGCTTCACCTTAGAGTGGAACGACTACGCCGTCCTTCGCGACCAAAAGAAAGAGTTCACCGAGAGATGCTTTGGACTCGCCATCAGGTGGGACGCGGGTAGTCGCGGTAGTCGAATAGGGAAGATGTCGGTGCCGACCAACCCTAGTAGGGCGCACTGTCGCCGATTGTCTTCCGACGTACGTCGGCGGGCGCGTTTGACGAAGCACGTCGACATGGCAGCGTTTGCTTACCAGCCATGTTCTCATCCCTCGTGCCCATTCGTGCGCTCAGGTTCGCTTGGTTTGACATTGGGCGGGACGACCTGCGGTTGTGGGTGCTGGGGATCGGCCCGCTTCGATCGGCCATGAAAGCCGCCGACCATTCTTGCTTTGCTAAGGCTTTCGACGCCGACATCGCCGCTATCCCGCTGAAATCGACGTGAGCTGTTACCCCGTTGTCCAGTCATCGTTTTTCAGTGTCGGCCGCATCAACGCCTTATGCTGTGGTCGACGCCGTCGTTTATTGCGTGTGCAGCGGCGGCCCGCTTCCAGGGTCACACTGCAGCGTCATAGCCATCCTCTACCCAGGAGATGTGCTGAAGGCTGAGGGACAGGTCTGCAGGACATCGATCCGGCACATCGACCCGCACACCGGAAAGGGGAAGCACCGCGACGAGGCCGTCCGCGTCCTGAAGTAAGTTGTGAATAGTCGTCGCTGTCGAGTTTGTTAGTCGCCGACACAGGGAATCTCATGCTGACCTCCTCTCCACTACGTTGCTCCAGGCTATTCCGCACGGCTGCCCTGGCCGAGCTGGGGCGTCCCGGTAGGAAGTGGGACGGGGCGCCTCCATCACAAGCAGTGGTGGAGGAAAGGCTTGCCGACTGCGACGACCCTATCCGCGACGTGAGTTGCACGTTTAGGCTCCGCTACGGTCTGCGCGTATCTGTATGCACCGCTCATATTGTGCCGCGCTTGCCTGTGCTGTATGCAGAAAGTGCCGGGCACAGTGTCGGACGGGCATGTCGGCACCGGCATGCTTGCCGCGACGTCGTTCGGGTGGGTGGCCAAGCAGATCGGCCTGCTGACGGGCGACAAGGCTCGGAGCGCTGTGAGCATCGAGAACATCAAGGTCGCGGGTTTGAGGTCGCTCCGTGATAGCATGGTCGATTACATCTGCCATCGTGTCGCCGAAAACCGGATAGCGGCGCCGACTTCAGGCGCCGACGGACCCGCCGAGGGTGCGATTGATGACGACGGCGCGGAAAGTCAGACGGCGCCCCAAGCAGCAGCTGCCGCCCAGCGCCAGGAGGACTTGCCGGTGTCCGCGGAAGGAGGAACCGGTGGAGGACTAGGCGACGATGCGGCAGGCGCAGGGAGGAAGGAAGAGGAGTTGACGGACTCTGGCTCAGAGTCGGAGTCGGAGGGGGAGGAGGAGGACGAAGGGGAGAAGGAGAATGAGGACGAGGAGGATGACGAGGGCAAGGACGAGAACGATGAGGTGGTGGAGGTGGTGGCTGGGAAGGACGAGGCGGCGCACGAGGAAGGGGTGGAGGAGGAGGTGGAGTACGAGCTGGAGTACGCAGACGGCACGGTTGAGGCGGTGGGGTCGGCGGACGAGAAGAACGAGGAAGCGGAGGATGGCGATGCGGGTAATGCTACGGGGTCGGCAGGTGAGGGGAAGGAAAAGGATGAGGTCGGCGTGGAGGCAACGACGGAAACGGGCCAGGAGGAGGCGGCATGCGAAGGTGCGAAGGTGTCGGTCGACGCCGGCGAAGGTGCGAACATCGCGGGCGTGCAGGAGACGGGGGACGCATCTGGTCGGCAGGGCCCTGCAACGGACGACGTCGAGGAGCTGCGACGGGAGAACTTGCTGTTGAGGGCGGAGAACGCTCGGCTGCAGGGTTTGCTCGATGCGGAACGGGCTCGGCTGGACGCGTTTTTTGTTGGGCTACGTGGACTCGTCGACCACCTGAAGGAGTTGGCCGAGCAGGTCGACGACACCGAGAAGTATGCGGCGGAACAGCTGCGAAACGCGGCGGAGGCCATGTCGCAGACCATCACGGGCAACATCACCGGCAGCTTCGACGAGGCGTGGAAGACGATGAAGACCTTCGCGGAACAGGCGTCGGCGTGGCTGGAGGACTTCGACAACCCGGAGGGAAATGTGGCGTATCAACGCGCCTTAGCGGTCACCACCTTGGCCGACCACGTCGACAAGGTGGTGGGCGATGCGCAGGAGGATTTGCGGGAGCACATCACGAGCCAGTTGTCCGCCGCAGCTGTCAACATCGCCACAGCTGTGACCGGCAGGCTCCCCGTGCAGCCGCCGCCACCGCCTCAGCCCACGCCGCCCGCCCTCCCGGAAGAGCTCTTGAAGTCGTTCAAGGCCGACATCATGAAGACGGTGACGGAGGCCACCGAGCAGTCGTTCGTTGCGTCCGGGATGAAGATGTTGACCGAGATGATCGGCACGGTGGCGCCTGGTCGACGTGGGTCGTCGCCTTCGGCCAATGACGCCGACGCCGCGCAACAGAGGGCGGCCGACAAGCAAGGCCTGAAGAGGTCGGGCGACGGTGACGACAAGGAGAGCTCGAAGCGGAGCAAGGGATCGGACGGGAGCCGCGTCACGAAGCCTCCTGCGCGGAGCGTGGTCGACATGCTGAAGGCGAAGGGGTGGAAGGTGAGGGGAGGGTCGACCAGCAAGGGAAGCGGAAGCGGGGGGGCGGACGGGAGACCTGCCGACGGGATCGCGGCTAACGTCGATGCACCGCCTGGCCCGCCTTTGGACGCCGAGCAGACCCATCCTCAGGCGAGCGGTGGGAAGGACGCGGCCCCCACTGCCCAGGCGGCGAAAGTCGGAGGCGCCGGAACCACCCAGGGGCCGTCTGACGCGGTGCCGGCCAAGGGCAAGGCGATGTCTGCGTCTGCTACGGTCGCCGGAACCGGCACGGCGAAGGCTGCCTCTGCTTCAGTCCCCGGAACCGGCAAGTCGAAGGCTGCTTCTGCTACGGTCGCCGGAAGCACCAAGTCGAAGGCTGCTTCTGGTACGGTCGCCGGAACCACCAAGTCGACACCATGTAACCCGCCTGCGGCAACCACCGGGCCCGCCGGCCAGTCAGGTGCGGGGAAGCATGGGGAGGCCCGTGCGGCCCCTCCAGCTCCAGCAGCCCCTACTGCCGCCAAGGTCGACGCGAAGGCTGCTTCGGCACAGGGGCCACCCGGGAGTAACGCGCTTAGGGTGTTGCTCCACCGCATGGAGTCCCACCGCCCGGGCGCGCAGCAGCATCCTGTGGTCGACGCCGGCCTCGCAGAAACAGCACGTCGCTCCGTCACTCCGCACGTTGCCGGCAAACCGTCCGATGCCCAATCTGCCGCGCGGCCGGTCGCCGCCCCACCGCCTGCGGA